GTCTATTTCTAGATTCTGTCGAATCTGAAGCCCTACGAACTGAACTGATACGACCGTCCAGTACCCACTATAACGCAGTGTAGACATCTGCCTTAAGCAGCCTTCCGTCAGATGCTATTTCCTTGAATAAAACTTTGCTCATGTTTCCTGAAGACAGTGCAAAAAAGAATATTTAATAAATATAAAATCAGATCTATATCTTTTTCTATCTTAATTGTATCTAGCAGTGTTTCATCTGTTTCATGTACCCTCCATTTAAAGTGTCGCCCTGATGACTAGAAGATCTTAGAGTCCAAAATTTCGAAGGGTTTGAGATGTTTGACTTGTGTTCATTCATTTTCAGCGTAGCAAGCAGCAAAATGGAGAAACATTTTACAGAATAAAACCACGAGTTTATGAAGTTACCTCGGAAACCGCAGGTCGACAACTGCTGCTTTCTGTATGACAACCTCGAAGCCGGTTGGTCGCAAGATATCCACCTTTGACATGATGTCCACTTCATCTCCTCCTGAAAAGCGTTAATTCTGATAACAGTTCCTGTCATGTGGCAATCGAAATTACGATGCTGTACTGCATCAGTGAACATCACTGCCAGACTCTTGAACTCGATTCGGAATTCGTCGTATACTGATTTCATCAACTCAGATAACTTTTCTTCCTATAAAGAAACAAATAAATCCTAAGCGGCGTATTTCAACAAATCTTAGTATTAGCGCAGTATTCCAGGAAAGAGTTATCACTGTTATCGAAGCAGCCCACATGAAATCATTATCGTGAAATTCTGACACGTCTAGAAAGAGTTCTGCGGGTGTTCTCGTTTAATCAAATAAATGTTTAAATGAAAAATGTAAAAAAGGAAAACCATGGTAAAGTTTACCAAAACGTAGAAGCAAAGGAAAAGTTAGGTCGGAGTAGAGAAGAGAAATGACTGCTGAGTCGGAATGAAATGTGGATTAAATCGAAGAGTTTTTCAAAAAGCGAATTTAAGCTTTCATGTAGGAAAGAGCAAGTTATAATGAATATGCAGGCTCGCATGACGAGGCGAAGGGCGACTGGACCTACGCGCGGCCACTATAGAAAAGAACATCTGACGCAGAATCTGAATTGGTAGAATAACGGGACAACGGAAATAACATGCGAACAAAGCACTTCATGCTTTGCAAGTAGGCAATTATGCACACAACGCAGCCTTTTCTTCATTTAACAGAGGTCTGATAATTTCTGCACCTCTCAGGAAAAGGCCAGCGAGATGCACATGCTCATTTTTCATAGATCGAAGGACGAATATCACTTATGTATGGAGTCAGAAAATCAACTGAACAGCTGTAAGCTTCTTATCAAGACATTCGCCGGCAGATTTAATTTCAAATCCCTCTAACTACGCCAGAAGCGCTCACTCAGTCGTGGCATCTCTTTCCCGTTCGAAAAAACTTAACAGAATGAAGTCACTAGCAGCACAAGAATGGATAAGACGACAAGATGATACGTTTCTTTCAATGCGTTTAACTGCAGCCTCGCTTCCCTGGAAATAAAAGATGTTACTACTAATACTCGAACATGTTTAAGCATAATACAAGTAATCCGTGTACCTAATAAACAAACGACAAAAAAACATTTTTGATTTTAAATATCGCAAAATATCTCAAAAATAAGTAGTAGCATAAAACCTTGAATCAATTTCTGACTTACTTCGCTCTTCTTGTAAAAAGCGGTATCTAGTACCACTGATTTCGCTTCCATCGAGTGTACGATCAACGACCCAAAGTCGACTATTAGCATCTTCTGAGATCTTCAAAAAATACGAAACAATGTTGAAAACAGAATATTAGAGTAAAAACAGATTAAAATTAATTTACTGTGATCATCTTCTACGACGCTCTAAATAAGTAAGAAACTATGCTCCGGTGTACACGTCATTACCTCGACATGAATCATCGCAGCAAAGCTCATAGTGACATCACTGAACAAACTTAAACGGACTGTAAAAATATGTTTAACAGGGACTACGGCTTGATACTCTCTAAAACTTGCGCTTCACCTGCATCTTAAAACCCATTTAAAGGCCAAAAAATAAAAGGAGTATCGTCAAATAAGGGCACCAAGCGGTATTTTGAAAGAATATAACAAGCAACGACACCCAGAAAGAATCAGACACTGCGAACTTAGCACTTTTTTCTGTCTAACGATGCTTAGACGAGTAAAGTCAATTAGCTGAGAGGGCTGGAAAGTCATGCTGATGGCGAGAATTCCTTTAGTGAATATCCGAAACTAAATTCTGTAATCAACGTTATGCATAGCTAGATTTATTTCAAACTAGCGAAATTTTAATACGAAGACAGAGCATTTCGTTAGTGCGTTGATGTTTATACTGAAAAAAACAGCGTAAAATCGTTTATACTATACAACACAAAAGACTGTGTGGTCATTCAAGTACTGACCAGAGAATCTTTTGCACTGTGTAGCATTAAAGATTGTTTTATGCCGTATTCTGAAAGTTTTAATCATTACAAAATCGCAATCTCGTGGCCAGTTTCACTCACTCGGCACATAAGAGTAAACTATTTACGCAGAGATTCGGTTCAATCAATGCCCAACAAAAGCAAGTATCATACAAAACTATCAATACAACTAATGGATGGTCCATTAAAAATGAGATAACGCAAATACTTGCTCATGTTGGCAAATTTCTAAGCAATTTTTCAATTTGTTTAGCTACCCTGATAAAGGCTAAAC